TGATCAATGATGTTGAGCATTCTTTCATGTGTTTGCTGGCAGTCTGTATATCTTCTTTGGAGAAATGTCTGTTTAGGTCTTCTGCCCATTTTTGTATTGGGTTGTTTGTTTTTTTGATATTGAGCTGCATGAGCTGCTTGTAAATTTTGGAGATTAATCCTTTGTCAGTTGCTTCATTTGCAAATATTTTCTCCCATTCTGAGGGTTGTCTTTTGGTCTTGTTTATGGTTTCCTTTGCTGTGCAAAAGCTTTGAAGTTTCATTAGGTCCAATTTGTTTATTTTTGTTTTTATTTCCATTTCTCTAGGAGGTGGGTCAAAAAGGATCTTGCTGTGATTTATGTCATAGAGTGTTCTGCCTATGTTTTCCTCTAAGAGTTTGATAGTTTCTGGCCTTACATATATGGAATCTAAGGAAAAAAAAGGTCATGAAGAACCTAGGGGTAAGATGGGAATAAAGACACAGACCTACTAGAGAATGGACTTGAGGATATGGGGAGGGGGAAGGGTAAGCTGTGACAAAGTGAGAGAATGGCATGGACATATATACACTACCAAACGTAAAATAGATAGCTAGTGGGAAGCAGCTGCATAGCACAGGGAGATCAGCTCAGTGCTTTGTGACCACCTAGAGGGGTGGGATAGGGAGGGTGGGAGGGAGACACAAGAGGGAGGAGATGGGGGGATATATGTATATGTATAACTGATTCACTTTGTTATAAAGCAGAAACTAACACACCATTGTAAAGCAATTATACTCCAATAAAGATGTGAAAAAAAAAAAAATGAGAGAGGGTGGGCACAAGTAGGCTGGGAGACCTCGGTTTATTCTAACGTCCTTTCTCTTCAGATTCCTTTGGTGAGAGATGACTGGTTGCCAGGGCCTGTTGTCAGATAGTGACTAGTGCTTGGAGGGAAAAGGGGACCAAAACTGAGAGGGCTGCTACTTTGAATGGGGACCAGGGAAAGCCTCTCTGAAGTGGCATTGAGTAGAGAGCAGAGTGAAGGTGGGGAGGCAGGTCCCTGGGGCAGATGACAAGATATCTCAACAGAGCTGAGGGGTCTGGATGTATTAGGCTGAAATTTAAGACCCCAGCGTCTCCCAGCACACCTCCAACACATACGTATCTTGAAAAAAAGCTCACCTCCAGAAAAAGGCAGCAGTCTGCTGCCAGCATGACCCTTCCAGGGGCATTAAATTACTAGGTCCTCCAGTGCAAGTCCGGACCCACTTTTAATGGTAACATATCTGGGTACTGCAGCCAATCATTTCCTCCAGTTGAAGAAGCTGAAAGAAGAAAAATCAGGCAATCGTGCCCCACAATACAGCTAAATATTTAATTCGGTTTTAATGTTTACATTATTAACAGCAGCATTACAGAATGATATTTTTACTTTCAAGCGATTTAAATGTGCGATTCGGTGTTTCAATGACTGGGATCATTATAATTTGAAAAACTGAAGCAGCGCTCCCTCCCTCCACTCTCCTCCCCCGATGGTGCCTGGTTTCTATAAAGAGCTAGTAGGGCTCCATAAAGCCCAGATACCCATCCTAAATGGATCGGGAGGTACAGCCCCGCTGGAGTTTTTCAAGGAGCCAGGGGAGGCTGCATTCAGTGTGGAACGAGCGACAGTCAGCAGGTGGGTGTTAACATGGTCATCGACTTCCAAAGGGGCTGGCACTGCCAAGCCACATTCCAGGCGACGCCTATTAATGTGCCCAGAATGGCACCCGGTGACTGACAAGCCAGTGAGCCCAGACTCAGGCTCCAATCACCCACAGGCATGGGGGGGCGGGGGTGACAAGGTAAAACAAGGCCAGAGATGCCCCCAGTGCCCCCTGGGAAAATACAGAAACACACCATGCATGCAGTTCACAACGATAATGCTGCACGGAGGCCTGAAGAGGCATCTGATGGAGGGGTAAGTGCACGGGCTCTGGAGTCAGTCAGCTGGGGTCCAGGTCCAGGCTCTGCCACTTACCCACCCGGTGACCTCGGCAAGTCCTTGTCCTTTCTATGCCTCAGTTTCCAACTCTGTAAAATGGGGATAAAAGTGGTACTTTTCTCTGAGATCCATTGTGAGGACCAAATGAGTCAATAGGAAGGCCTTTAGAACAGTGCCAGGCACACAGCAAACACTCAGTACGTGTCAATTTATCATTATAATTCCCATTTTAAGATGACGAGCTGAGGCTCAGAGTGATTAAATAGCCCACCCAAGTTTGGCTGCTCCAAACGCCTTTGCCTTTGCTGCCCCTCTACCTGGAAGTCGCTTTTGCCCCTCGTGTGACTCAGGTCTCTCTCAAACACAAGCGCCTCCAGGCCACCCAGACCCCACCCCCACCCCCATCACTGTGGATGTAGCACCCTGACTTGACCCCTCCCTGGCACTTATCACATATGAAATTATCTTGTTCATTTACTGAAGGACTGAATACTTATAAAGCATTATGATGCTTATTGTTATTGTTATGGAATGTTTGCTTGGTTGTCGTCTGTTTCCTCCCACTCAAATGTAAAACCCGTGGGATCAGGGCCCTCACCTGTTTTGTCCACCACATGGAAGGAGCTCAGGGCTGGCTTCGTGCGTGTGTGATCTGAAGGCAACCCCCCGCCCCTCGCCCCCGGGTTAATGCTCTGCTGTTACTGTCTTGAACTTTTTCATAATCTTTTAATAAGGAGCTTCACATTTTCATTTTTCATTGGGCCCCCACAAATTGTATAGATAGTTCTGGATGAATGAATGAATGAGCGAGTCCACATTCCAACCCATGTCTATCAGCCTCCACAGGCTCACTACTGAACCATCAAGTCAGACAAGCCTGCAGTGGGGAGAAGAGAGGTGGGCACTGAACCAGGGCGACCACAGGCTGATCCGGAAGATGCTGTGCTGGGGAAAGGAGAGCCTTAGACAGAGGCACTGGTTCGGGTTTCCCCTGCTCCACTTGTTCTTCTCAACCTCTCCTTGTGCTTCCGCTTATGCCTCAAGTTAGGTGAAAGCCATGTTACTCTTTCTCTTGCTGAAGACAGAGGGACCTCTGTCCCTGCCTCCCAAGACACCTGTTGGCCAGCCAGGTGCTCTTCAAAGCCACAGCTGTGATGGGGCCTCAGGCAGACTGACAAGGCCTTGGGGCACCCAGCACAGCCCTAGGTGCCTGGAGCTTGATACTGATAGTAAATAGATATAACCCTCCTCTTTGGGCCTCGGGACAGCCATCAAAACTATGTGGTTATAAATATGTTACCCAGTCCAAGCTCACTGCACGACAGGCCAATAAATGGAGAGACGAGTTGTTGGGGCATGGAACAGTGACTTTATGCAGAAAGCCCGCAGACTGAGAAGATCATGAAGTAGTGTCCCAAAGAACCACCTTCCCAGAGTTAGAATTCAGGCTTCTTTTATACTAAAATGGGTGTGGTCAGTTGCTGCAAACTTCTTGGTGCCGGAATCCTTTGTTCTTGCAGCAGTCCACATCGGTCCAGTAGTAATGCTCCTGTAAACCTCCAACAAGACAAATGGTATTCTCTGTTCTGCAACTTTTTATCTCTGTATGAATGGAAAGTGTTATACCTTTAAAGGTCAGAGCCTTGAGAATGGGCTAGCCTGCATATCTCAGGCTATAGGCAACACTCTTGTAGCAAAAGCAATAGATACAAAGGTTAAAGTAAAAGAAATAGATCCATCATGGACTCAGATTTGTTCTTCCCCATTACAAATACAGCTGTGGTGAGAGTGAATTAGGTAGGTACTGTTGGGCTGGGAATGCGTTGGGGGTGCCCTTGAGCGCCTTGTTTTCCACTCCCCCTGAACTCACCTCAAGTGGGCATCACACACCCTGGGTCCCCAAAGGTTCTCATTCATAGGTCTTTACCCTTAAGGACTTCAGACAGTTCAGAGCTGTTCTCTGTTAAAACCACCCACTGATTTTTCCTCCTCCCTCTTCCACTCTCCCATTCTGCCCCAGGCCTGGTTCTTGCTATGGAAGGAACGTCCCTCCATTCCCACTTATCCAAATTCTAACCATCCTCAAGGCCCAGCCCAAATGCTATCTCCTTCAGAAGCAATCCCTGATCTTCCATCTCCTTATCTCCTGAACATCTAGAAGTACTAGTTCTTTCTCCAAACTCCTAGTATTCCCTAACACTTCAATGAAAGCCCTTGTCACTTTTAACTTTGTGTTTTGGTTATGTATTCACTTCCTGACTCAGGGCAGGAGTCTCCTGGACTTATGAATTAGGCAAGGTGAGAAGGAAGAGGTTTGCGGGAAGCCAAGTGTGTGCACAGGATGGTCCTGGCTAAATTCAGGCAGTAAAGATGCAAAAGGGGGCTGAGACTTTCTTAAGGAAAATCTGGAAGGTGGGGGTATCTTTTGAAAAGAAAAATCAGAGCATCCCACATGATATGCAGCTGGAGATGTAGAAGAGAAGGCTTGGTAAGACAAGTTTTTCCAGGCTGAATCAACCCAGATGACGTTGCTCAAGCAGGGAAAAGTAGCTGGCTTGGGGAGGGGGCGCTCAAAAGGATACTGATAGAAGCTGGGGAAAGAGGGACAGAGCTGAGTAGCACTAAAGAAGGAATTGTGGCAGATCACCAAATGGTAGCGACAGGTACAGGGACTGTGAGAAAGGGGAGGGGGGCTGCGAACCACGTGTGCATGCTACGTGATTAAGTTCAAACACATCTTCATCGAATAACCACTTGTATTTACATGCAAATGTAGTCGCTTATGCAATTAGCAGAGGTCTCAGAGGAGGGTTTTTTAGTCTGGAGCTTGTGCAGTCACTGAAAAAGAGAAGCAAGCTATCCCCGGTGTACTCCACGACTGACTTGCCCCTGGGAACCGGGCTGGTTCCAGGAGGACGAAGACTGAATCAGCCGGCCCTGCAGAGACAGGAGAGCAGCGGCCCCACCCGGAAAGCGGCAGGGCGGCGGCCAAGTGGCGCATGCTCACTCCTCCCTCCCACCCCACCTCTTCGGGAAGCCGGCGATGCTTAGTGCGCAAGCTCCACCTGTCCCCGCCGACTCCTCCCTCAGGGGTGGAGACAAGCAGGGCCCAAAATGGCGGCTAGCCGCTACAGGCGTTTTCTTAGACTCTGTGAGGAATGGCCAGTGGACGAGACCAAAAGAGGCCGGGACTTGGGCGCTTATCTGCGGCAGCGGGTAGCGCAGGCCTTTCGGGAGGGAGAGAACACCCAGGTGACCAGACTGTGGGGTCGGCCTGCGGCGGGGAGGCGGTTGGGGCGAGGGGAGGAAAGGAGGAGGCAGGGCGGGGCCCACGAGCGGGCTGGCGGCGGGGCCCCGCGCTTGCGCGCGCCTTTCCTCCCTGGCCGCGCGTACCCGGGGACCCTCTTAACGCCCGGGGAAACTGCGGAGAGCGGTGATCCTATCCTCTACTCAGTACTTTCACCTGGCTGCACGTTGGAGGTTCCTGAGGAGCTTTTTAAAACTCTAGATACCTGGGACCATACGACCTTATTGAATCAGAAACTCTGGGGGTGAGGCCTTGCCCTCAGTGTTTTTAAAAGCTCTCGATGATTCAGGGTGCAGCCAGGGTTGAGTCCCACAACACCAGTCCTAGGTGGTGACAGTCATAGGCTTATTGCTCCCCTGACACGATGCCATTACGTCGAAGTGTTGTGCAGTGATTGAGCTGATGCCCAAGGACCTATGCAGGGTCCCCGCTAAGCCTTGGTGTGCTTCCTGGGCTTCGTGCGGCAGGTTTGAGTCCTCACCGCGTGCCCATGTGTGTGAGTAGTAGACCTATGTTCTTGCTGTCCTCCAGGTTGGTGCTGCACTTCTGGGATTTGTTCATTCGTACAGCACAAACTTATGGAACACCCACCATGTGCCAGGAACTGTTCCAGTTGCTGGGGAGACAGTAGTTAATTAGATGAGGTCCTGCCCACATGAAATTTAAGTTTACGTCCTAGTTCAGGACACAATAAGCAAGTAGACACACATAGGTCAGTGCAGAGAAGTACTATGATGGTTACGAAATAGAGTAGCATGGTAAAAGGGTAATATTAGTTATGATAGATAAAGGCTTACTGAGGAGGTGACACACAGATGAGACCTAAGGGAAGACGACGAGCCAACAATGAACACTTGGTGTTCTTTCAGGCAGTGCAATGGTCCTGAGGCAGGAAGCAGAAAGAAAGCCCAAGTGGCTGAAGGGTAGTGAGTGAAATGCCGTTTTCTAAGAGTTGAGTCAGAGGAGGACAGGAGTCAGGCACGGTAGGGTTTTATAGGCAGGCTCTGGTTAAGGGTTGGATTTTATCATAAGACCAGTGAGAAGCCTCTGGGGAGGTTTAGTCAGGGGGCTGATGTGACCTAGTTTACTGTTTTTTTTAAAGATCACTCTGGCTGTACCAGTGAATGGATTATAGGGAGGCAAGAATAGAAACAGTCACTCTGGTAGCCCAGGCAGGAAATGGTGGTGGCTTGGATGAAGATGGCAGCGCAGGAGATGGAAGTGGCCACTTTGGGGTTGCAATGTGAAGGTTGCATCAACAGGACTTGCTGACGTATTGGATATAGGATAAAGGGAAAGAGGAACCAAGGATAACACCTAGATTGTTTTGGCCGGAGCAACTTGGTGCAAGGTGGTGCAGTTTACTGAGATGGGGAAGACGAGATGAGGAACAGGTGGGGTGTGGGAAGAACAGCTTTAGTTTGGTGTTAAGACATGTTAAACTTGAGATGCAAAGTGGATTTACTTCCAAGTGGAAATGTCAAAGTAGACAGTGGGATATTTGAGCCTGGGGCTCAGGCAAGAGGTCAGACACGAGAGATGTGACACGTACACACACAGCCTGAAGAAATGACTTTTGCGAAATTTGGCCACAACCTGTCAAAGCAGGAACATGGCTTTTTGTCAACTTAGCCCAACCCAGACCCAAAGCAGCCCACCTAATGGAGCAAGGACAACATGCCCAGTGGCATCATCGAAACCAAGTGCTGACTGGGTGGTGGGCATGGACGGAGTGTCTGGCTCAGGGCTTTGTTGGGGGGGTTTGGGGTGCCACACAACACTGAGGGCCTTCACACTTCTTACAGTGGTCTTCACTGGCCCGTAGTATAAAGATCTTGAAGGCAAGAGTCATAGTCCCAACTCTGCAAATCCCATAGCCCATAGACTTTCTAGGGCTATGCTCCCTTCACATTTTCAGTGTGAGCTTCCTGAGAATAGAGACGGTGCTATTTTTATCTTTCTCCCCACAGTGTCTAGCATAGTTCCTGGCACATAAAAGACACTCGGTAAATGTCTGAATGAATGGGTAAATAAATGATTGGTTATGGCTTATGAGACAAAAATCATTTGAATATAGTTGCAGATGTAGCAGAACTAGATGGAGAGAAGTAGTGAAGAGTGAGAAGGGAATATGTCTGTGCCCTGAGTGGGGAGAATTAATTTGTGAGCTTACTCTGTGTGGGGAACTGCAGGAACTACAGAAGAGGGACATAACCGGGTCCTTATCACCAAGGACCCTATAGTTGGACAGACACGTGACTTGCTTTAATGAAATTTGAATGGTGAAACCAGCCAGCAGAGAAGCTGACAGAGGCTAGATCCCTGGGGAGGTGAGAGTATGACATTCACCTGCTTGACTGTTAGTGTAAGAGGAGCCAGAAAAGGAGGGCAGAGCTTTCTCTTTTGCAGTTGTCATCTTTTGTCGTCACCTAGGCAGCTAGTTCTGATGAGTAGAAGGCCCACACGAATTTGAGTCATGGCTGCAGATGCAAGTCATGGCTCGGTTGATGGTTCCAGAGCAGCTCATGAGTGCATCCCTGGTAGAGTGAACCAGTGCATCATGATGGCAGCAGGCACATGACTCAGGACCACTGTTGTGGTACCTCATCCTGATGTCATCCAAGAATGCACCTGGGCTTAGTAAATCTTGGTGGTAATTTTTAGAAGGAGCAGTCCCTTGCTGGAATTGAGAACAGTGCTGTGAGTCACTCCCACTGACACCCCCGGATCATTTATAAAGAACTTGAGAAAGCTGGCAGCCAGGGGCAGGCACTCGACCCAGTCAACTGATCGATGCGGAGCTCCCCCTCGGTTATGCCATGTGCCAGAAAGACAGGACTAGAGGGGGAGGCAGCTCTCCTCCGCTGCGTGTTTGTTCCTGTAGAGGAGAGGAGCAGGCAGTCCTGCTCTCAGCCTTGTGGCTTCCTGCATCTGAACAATAACGCTGAACGCATGCATGACACACTGCATGCATGGTCTCATTTAGTCTCTTCCTTAGTGCAGCTGAGTTGAGGTCACCATCGCTGTTCCCATTTTACAGGTGAAGAAACAAAATCTGAAAAGAAAAACAACTTATTCGGGGTTCCCCAGGAGTTAAATGGCAAGACAAGTGAGCGTTGTCTTCTTTGTGCCTGAACTATCCTCAGCTCCCATTCCTCCCAAGTTATTTCTTCTTGTTAGAAAGGCCTCTTGTTCCGTGAACTTCAAGCCCTCCCTTCCCCTCACTTCCTGCTCAAGACCTCTTTGGACCACGGACAGTTTTGGCAAAGAATTAAACATCCTTCTGTTTACCCACCTGCTTTTCTTTGGCCCAGCCCCTACCTACCCAGTGTGGATGGGGAGAAAGATGGTCCTCAGGTGGGACACCAGCACAGAAAAGCCAGAACCACTAGAAAGCAAATTAATCATTCAGACTTGAAACCAGGGTACAAAAATAACTGCCTCCATTTATTCCACCACAGATTGCCCTTTGGGGAGTCTCACAGTCCACCTAAACTCACCAAGAAGGAGGTGGGAAGCAGAAACACACTAAACACCTCTTACACCCTCTATCCTATTGTGCAGTTTTTTAAAGCTAATGTTTATGGATTTTGCCCCCTTTCAGTTCAGTTTCCCTAAGAGAACGCACGTTCCCTGCAGCCCCAAGAGCTTAATAAAAGAATCACAACACGGGGGAAGGTGGCAAAACAACAGTAATTGTTGACTTAAGTACAGGGGAAGGTGCAAACTCTTCTAATGAGTTCATTAGATGCACAGGCAGCTTCCTAAAAAGTCCGTGGCAGCACCCACTTATCCAGCACAGGGCACAGCTCTGAGGAGCCACCCAGGAAGGGGCTCGCCCACCAGGGAGTTCTTGTATTAAATACCCAGGTTGAAATAATATCGGCCCCGTTTGAAAGGAGTTGAACTTTGTCTTGGATTGGCAGTAATGTACGTGATACGTCCAACTCCTCAGAGGGGAATTCAAAGGTTTTCTGTTTTCTCAGTCATCCAGTCGGGGCCTGGTCTGTGGCTCAGTGTGGCGGGTTGTAGACCTGTGTGTGTTGGCAGGGGTGATGCCATCCAGCGTTACCCACCCCCGTGTGTGGGTCCTCTGAAGTCCAGTTATTGAGGAAGGGCCTGAGAACAGATTATGTGATTTTTTTTTTCGGTAAGTGGTCCTCTCACTGTTGTGGCCTCTCCTGTTGTGGAGCACAGGCTCCGGACACGCAGGCCCAGCGGCCATGGCTCACGGACCCAGGCACACTACAGCATGTCGGATCTTCCTGGACCGGGGCACGAACCCGTGTCCCCTGCGTTTGCAGGCGGACTCTTAACCACTGCGCCACCAGGGAAGCCCAGATTATGTGATCTTTAGTTGTAATATTGAGCCCACTGCAAAACAGCCATTGTGAGGAGAATCATGTCAGAGAGGGAATGCAGGCATCTCCATCTCTTTTTCTCCCCCAGTTCCGGATGGAGCTGGAGGGAGTTAAGGTAGTGTTTAGACCAAGGCATGGCAGTTTTCTAGGCATGTTTAGAGATGTAGGTGCTCCTCCTGGAGGGCTAGATTATCCACCACTTCCAGTGGGTTACCACTTAGAGATCTTTGGGTCTGCCTGTTGCCTTCTGGAGTAATGCAGCTTTGTGAGGCCTTCACTGTTGTCTAATCCAGCCTGTGTCCCGCCGCCTCACCACACTCCAGCGTGTGCCCCGGCCCCAATGAGGGCTTCTTCTCATTGCCTCCCAAATTGGTCATAATGTAAATGGTTCTTTTTTTTTTTTTTAAGTATATTTGATTTATAGTGTTGTGTTAGTTTCAGGTGTACAACAAAGCGATTCAGTTATATTGGGTTGGCCAAAAAGTTCATTCAGATTTTTCTGTAAGATGTTACCTGTTACCCCCTTTATACTATATATAAACTATATATGTATATACTATATATATGTTCTTTTTCAGATTCTT